TAACGTAGAGAATATCGTTGACCCCGCCAGTGTGTCTAGAGTATCGTCTATCCTCGGCAGGGGATAGCTATCCTTCTTGGTACCATTATTGAGCTGCCGATAATCAACACAGAATCTGGTGGTACCGTCTTTCTTCTTTACTAGTACTACCGGCGATGTCCACGGGCTGTTAGATGGTTCGATGACACCCTCTTCTTTCATTTCTCGAAGGATTTTATCAGCTTCTTCACGTTTGGCGAGCGGAAGTCTTCTCGGATTTTGTTTGATTGGTCGTGCTTCTCCGGTATCAATTTTATGTTGTACTAAATTGGTACGACCTCTGTGTCCTGCTTCTCCTTTATCAAACACATCTTGATACTTGATTATCAGGTTTCCCAATTTTCTACTATTTTCGGGAGATAATCCCTTAACGTTTACTAACTCCTTCACCATTTTGTCCGGAATTTTTGAAGTCGAAACTTTGGAGGCTTCCACGCTTCGAATGACTGAGGAGACCGAACAACAGTACCCTAACAGGGTTCCCTTCTTCAAGGATACAGAATAATAATTCGTATTCATTACTCTCACCGGTACAGTTTTCTTCGCTCGTAGCAGGGCTTTTCCAACAGCGATCCCTCGTCCTATTTCGCTGTCATGGTTCCTTGGCTCCAACAGAATAATACTCCCATTATTCATTTTACCTTCCAGGCAACCATCCAAAAATACCTCACAGCGCTCAGGGATCGAAACATCTTCTGCTACTACCACGCGAAGCGTCTCCTCACATTTTCGATGTAGAACCACTTATTCCTCATTTATTTTCAAAATTCCCTCTTTGAAGTTTAGGTCAAAACCTTTAGTGGTCATGATGTTCATTCCGAGAATAAGTTCATCTTCGATATCTGCTACTAACACTGGATGTTCAAAACTGGTGCTCCCAATAACAAAATTAAGATTTACTTCTCCATGGACAGCAGCGGAGCCCCCCGTAGCAGTACGTAGTCGCCATTGTGTTGTTTTACCTTCTTCGATGTTTAAGAATGTCCGGTCTGATGATAGTTTTCGTCGCACCTGTATCCAACAGCATGGTCGGAACTCTCCATCAACAAAACCATCAACAAAAATGCTGTTGAATTTGTAGCCGTAGCGTGAGGCGACTTCTGAGCAGTTTTTCGTTGGGGCATGTTGGGTACAGGGTCGACGTGTGCGCTTCATTTCGACCATAGTAGTTTTTTCCGACCTCGACGGAGCCGGTTCTTCGTTCTTCTCCTTACAGCAGCTTCGCACGTGTCCTACCTGTCCACCAGTTCCAGCAACGTATCGGTCCCTTCTTGCCCATATACTGGTCCATTAACTTCCGAACAATCCCTTCCACGGATTCGTCGGAACATTCGTCGATAGCCCGTACTCTTCCTAAAGACCGAGAACTTTGTTTCGCGGCCTCAAATTCTAGGGCACGTGCTAAAGCATCCACCAAGTGCGTTGGGTGGGCTAGGAGAAGTGCTTGTCTTGTCTCGTTGTCACGTAAGCCGTCGGAGAATGCCTGTACTGCCAACCGCTCCATTACATTCTCGGGCGTAGCAGGGTACACAAGAGCGAACGGGGCGGGCTACGTCGGCTTCAAACTCCTGCAGAGACTCATTTGACTTTTTGAATGCGATTTTTTAGCTGGGAATGATAGACATGTTCCAAATGAGCTTGGCCATTACCTCATTTCTAAATGTCGTACCAATTGCTGAATCTCCCTGTTCCGATGGTGACAATGTCTGCAGGATATCAGTCGCATCTCTCGCAGTGCGACAGTCAAAGCGGTAGCCTTTTTCAGCGATTGTCCATCCGTTCGCTCGCAGCGGCCTCAAACTGGCAAAAATAATTGGCCCAAGCGGTTTTCCGTCAAACTGTGGAAGCTTAATAGCTGACTTTGAGATATACTTATTTTCGACTAGTTTCAGGTGCCTCCGATGTTTCTTGACATTTTGGTGAATTGGCCTTTTCTATTTCTTGTTTTAAAATTTCGATTTTTTCTGTTAACATCGTCCTCAATCTGTGCTATTTTTGTCTTGTGTATCTATTATCTTTTCTTCTAATTCCCTGGAGTTTTCTGTTATCTTGTTGTATAAACTTTGTTCTAAATTCAATATTTTATTATTGAAGCTGGCCTGTATGTCTTTAGAATTTTCTGCGATCTTATCTTCTAAATTAACTTCCAAGTCAGTTATTTTACTATTCAAATTGTTAAAGTTGTCGTCTAATTTTTGAGAATTCTCTGTCATTTTATCATTCAAACTGTCTTCTAATTTTGTGGGACGAGGTCAAGGTCACCTTCCAGCTCAAAGCAAAATGTGTCAGGATCCTAACCTTTCCTCAATCAAAACGTCTCTCAGTCTGGCTTGTAAAATGCTTTTCTTTCCATCTGCATTCCCTCTCTTCCAGTACGCATTTTAATTCCGACACTTTCAAGTCTTTCAACAATTTTTTCGGAGCCATTGTCTGTCTTTTTATTTTCTAATCTATCACACGCCACATGACACCAATTGTTACGTTTTCGTCGGTTCCGTGTGGATAGAAAGTCACAATTTATTTAAACACTATTTATTTAACACTAATGAACAAAAATAATAACGATAAAAGACTTATAGAACTATTTACAAACGATTTATAACTAAAATTTATTTTGAATTTTAGCGCGTCAACTGTATATTTATAACTGCCCTCTCTAGAGCCACTGCCGCCGACTTTTTATACCGACAGGTAAAAGAAATCTAGAATAGTCCAAAGATCGTTAGGCGCATAGAGAAGGTTTCCGAATGTTCTCGTATGTACTAGTCCATTCTAGTGGGTCTCGATTCTTCTCGAACGAATGAATCATTGCGGTGTCTATGCGATGTTAAGATCATCCGAGGGCGGGCCATATTGTGAGGTTAGGTCGAGTCCACACCGGCTCGCAACAATATCATGAGAGCCTTTGTGGCTTTGCTGGTAATGTTCTTAATATGCCTGTTCCAGAGAAGTTTACTATCCAGGGTTATTCCCAGATATTTCACTTCCTGTGATGGCAGTATTTCCTTTCCATCTAGATGGATTCTTTTCAAGTTTTTCAAACTTCGCTTTCACAGTGATAGATGGCACTACTGCGGTTTTATCTGAGTTAATACTCAGCCCGACAGTCCTGCACCATCTCTCAGCGATGCGGAGTCCTCTTTGGATAATATCACACAGGGTGCCTTCATGTTTCCCCTGTGCAATGATGACTATGTCATCTGCGTACCCTATGCAGTGTATTCCCGCTAGAGTTAATTCTTCCAGTAGTTCATCCACTACCAAGCTCCACAGTAGGGGGGAGGTCACTTGTTTTAACAACTATAGTTTTGGTACCTATCTCAGCCTCTGCTGTTCGTGTTGAGAGCATTTCCAAATCATTGTATGTTAAACCAAATTGAAATTTGACCCGAAAAGCTATACAGGGTGAGACAAAATTAACATTAGTCACTTTTAAAAGCAAGTTACTCCTTTATTTTAAACGGAACACCCAGTATATTATTCCGGTGTTCAATGGGGAATTTATATATCTTCAAAATATTATTAAGGTTGCCTACCCCTCAAACAAAGATTTTCCTAGATATTTTAATTTTTATGATTTTACGCCAGTAGATCTTTATATTATTTGAAAAAAATCTAGGGGGTAGCTGTGTGATATACCTTTTGTTAATTTAACAAAAATTAAAGATTGTGGAGTAAAATACTCAACGGTAATAAAAATATACACGTTTAAAACATATTTTAATTATTACAAAATTATAACTAGATATAAACCTATAATTATGTGACAAAAATAAGCTAGATGAAATCAAATGCTCAAAATTCTTCCTTTCCTGCTAACTGCATAAAATGATTGTCTTTTCAAAAGGATCTTTTCATTTTAAAAGGCATATGTGGAGTTCTACCTCGAAAAGCAGCTACAATAATTTCTCTCATGTTATCGACAATAGTTGGTCGAGTTTTGTAAACACTGTCTTTAACATATCCCCATAAAAAAACAGACTAGATGAAACCAGGAGCATATAAGTATTCTATTAATTGGTGAATGCACACTGCATTCACAAACTAATAGAATCATATCAATTCTCTCTTATGTAGGATAAGTTTGCATTTTCGGCAAATTTCTGAGATTTTTTTTTGTTTTAACTGACACAAAATGATAACTAGTTGTTAAAGTTGGACTAATTAGATAGCTATGTTCCAGTAACGTCAGATATATCACAGTATTAGATCTTATCAAATAATAAAGATCTGCTCCGATCAAATCATATAAATGAAAATATCTAGGAAAATCTTTGTTTGATCAACCTTAATAGTATTTTGAAGAGACATGAATTCTCCATTGAATATCGGAATAATATACCGAGTGTTCCATTTAAAATAAAAGAGTAACATGCTTTAAAAGGTGACCATTGTTCAATATTACTTTTGTCTCACCTGTATAACTTTTTGTATCAAATTTTAATTTGATTTACAGTACAATAGTTAATTTAACTACATATTAGGCTATACCGGGTAAATTCCAATTTAGGTAACTTTTATTGTAATTTAAAAATTGTTCTTTATTTCTAGAAAATGTTAAATATGTCAAAAACCTTACATTTTAGTTATATACTTCTCTTATAAAACTCACTTTTATTTTTCTCACAGAATCCGAAAATCAATTAATATATAGAGTGTTCCATTACAAAAAATAAAACTTTGATATGTAACTTTTTTTGGGGACACCCTGTAGAACTCTCTATACTTTTATAAAGTGCTCTGAATTAATCTACATATGCTTACTAAATTTGATTTCAATATAAACTGTCGTTCTCCTTGGAGCCTCTGCGGCGTATGAAAGGCGCCACCCTGTATAGAGAATTACCCTGTATGCAGAAGAGTTGTATAGATAGGTGTTTGTCAAAAATATCGAATCATTTCATTCGTTTTGCCCATTCCTAATCATAGGCAGCGGGCGCATCGCGGTCTAGGCCTGACCTCGCGTCATGACATGGCAGGCCGCGATGTAAACAAAACGCGATCGCCACAGCAGCGCAACACGGGCTATGTAATATTTATTTCCGTTGATTTCGTTCACTGAAAACCATCTCGCGGCGCTTCTGGTCGCGTGGGAAGCAGAGCGAAAGGGAAATTCGGAAAAACAACCGAAAAATAAACACGGAAAAGAAAAACTATTTCGAAACTACTTTTTAAGATTATTTTTTACTCGTGTGGAAGAGAATAAAAATAAAATATAGACAAATAAATAGTAGTGAGCAATGCGTGAGTGCAAAGGAAATACTTTACTGTTTTTGGGTGACAGGAATGTAAAAAAAGTTAGTGGCATTTGGAAGGGTAAGTCTCATGAAATGACAAAGATCTGCATTTAACAAGAATAACTATATTTTTTTATTCCCTGTGCCTACTAAAAATACAAAATTTACGTTTAAATATGTATGTCACAGAATTATTTAAATAATTTGAACTTTAAAAATAAATTACGAAAAATGATTCTCTACGTTTTATTATTATTCTCAAGATACAGGGTGTTTCAAAAAACATGTGCCATCTTTTGTAAGGAGATTCCTCAAGTAAAAATAAGATTTATTTTTTATATTAACATAGGTCCGATTCTGCTTTCTTTCGTAGTACAGGGCGTTAAAGTCTTCATTTTTTTATTTATTATATTTTTCTTCCAAGTGCTTTTAGGGATTCGAATGAAATTTTGGTGTTTTTTTTATATTATTTACGTTTAAATGTTTATAATACAGAAATTGTTTATCAACTTGAACTTAAAAATTATGCAAAGAAAAATGTTTCACACCAATAGCTGACAAGGAAACAAGAAAAAAAAATAGAAACCAAACTCATAAAAGAAAAGCAATATCGATAATTGGTATTACCAGCATTTTTTCTCGGAAAATGTATGCCTGCCTTTATTTGACATCATTACTACTTCTTTTTGGCTATGAAATGAAAATAGCTGTCATTTTATATGTAAAATTATATGGGGAATGTCACCGATCGTCGTTTCCAAGCCAACTGGATGTCGTTTTTTTTAATCATACGGTATATTTTTGTTTACTAAAACATCGTTAAAATTATAATATATTTTAATTTTTTATTTTAATATAAATTTATATTGATATTATAATTTAAAATTTCATAGCAATTTGGTTCTAAATTTGTTGAAAAATATTGACTTTAGTTATCGTGTTTATAGAATTTGATAATTTTATTAACATTTGTGGTATTCCAAAAATTAAGATATGACGCTGTATGCGTGAGGTGAAAAAAAATCCCCGGATAAAGCTTCGTCCACACAACGTTTTACCTGTGAGTCTTACCTTTTCAGTCAAAACGTATCAAATAAAATCTTGTGTGTAGTTGAAAAAGCGGTCCGTTTTTCTTACCGAGAACATTCAGATTCGCAAAAAAACTGTCGTTCTGTCACACTGAAAATAATTTACAAAAAATAATAATAAGGATATGTTACATCATCATTTTTTTTCCAATATCGATAATTTTGAACATTGGGTTCATTATTTAAGGTAAACGTGCATTCGTCAGTGAAGCATATGTTTTTTAAAAATTCCCTATCCGTGTTTGCTCTTTCCATCATATCAAAACAAAACGCCTGCCGTCGTGTTTCGTCCCCATCTCGTAGCTCTTGGTGCTTTTCATATTTGAAGGAATAGTATTTATGTCGTTTCAAAATTCGAAACGCTGTAGTGTGATCTATTCCTATTTCATCCTCAAGTTTCCTTGTGCTGATCTTTCCATCGTTCTCGTCCACGCACAATAAAACTTCCAAGTCGGTATCATTTCTTGCGTCTTCTCTTTGTTCCTGCCTTGCTTCAAATCTGCAGTTATTTATTAGGGTACTTTTGGTCTCAAATCTCTTGATATTCCTGGCGATTGTAGATTTTCAAGGTATCGGTCTATTCGGATACAGAGCAGCAAACATGTCCGACACATTTTGATAACTATTTCCTTGATAATACCATTTAATCATCAATACTTTTTCTTCGGTAGTGTAATTCATGGCTAATATTTTCGATGTAGGTATGAGTTTTTAATAATAATAATAAAGCACTAAATAGATAAATTTCTGAAATGACAACTTCATTTGACAGTTATCTTTTACCTTGACTGGTGCTCATAAGTAAATACAGGGCTATAAGAAAGGAGAAATATTTAAAAAGAAATCGGCGATAACTCGTAAACGGGCTAATCAAAAATATCTAAAGTTATTCTTTTGAATGTAAGTTTTAGTGCTCTTCAATAAATCTAAATAGAATTATTCTCTAAAATAATTAGGGAAGCCAATAACTGACCCCATTAAAGTTTACATGGGATTTCCTATGTCCCGTTCGACGCTGCAACACCCGGTATAGCACTGTAATCACAAAACTTCAATCTATTTCCGTATTGTAACGGAATTTTAAATTATATCTTTATTTTCGAGAAAATTTAGTCCAAACAAAAGGAATATTTTGTTGACGTTTGACCATCAAAGTCATAAAAATAAAGAAGCTGTGTGAAGTAATCCTTTATCTTTAATTTCCTTCTTCGTTTGTGTAAAAATACCTAGCCAGTTTTACATAAAACATTAAATGCCCAACGCTTATTTTGCTACTTTTTCGGACTAGTAAGTGGACTCTTAAAAGAGAAATGCCTCCAATCAAGGGCGTAGATAAGGGGGGGGGGGTACTCGGGGACAGTACCCCCCCCTGACGCTTGACGAGATACGAGAATTGAAATAGTCATTGACTATGAAAGGATTTTTTAAATTAATATCCGACATATAAGAACACTTTGTATGCTTTTAATTATGTTGATTTATCGTTTATAATATGTTCGACCTAATTAAAAGCACACAAAATGTTCTTATTAACCAGGACAGATTAGTGGGGTTAACTCTAATCAATATCCATAAAAATATTGAAATAAATGTTGATGCTGTTATTGATAGGTTTTCCAAACAGCGTACTAGAAAACTTGAATTTGTTTTGTAGTTTTATTTATAGTTTTTATAGTTTTTTTTGATAGTTTAGATTTTTTTATTTATAGTTTATAGAAAATTAACTAATAAACGTCGTTGTTTCATTTTTGTGTATGTTATTTACAAATCTATATTTTAATTTTTGTGTTATGTTTAGACAAAAAAATCGCCGTAGTTTTAATTCGACAAAAAAATTCCGACGTTGATTTTTTTTGCGACTTAATCATAGTACCACCCCCATAGCATACACCTATCTACGCCCCTGCCTCCAATATGCATGGTCTGTGATGTTGAGTTGACAGTAACTCACATTATATATGTGAATGTCCTCAATATACGGTAGAGAGAAGTAGATTCCATATACCTGGTGAGATTCGTGAATGTTTGCCTGAAGAAGAAAAAATTAAAAATATTTTGAACTTTATGAAAGATATTAATATATACCACCAACTGTGATACTCACTTGTGATGGCTCTAATCCAACTGTGATACTGTGATGTTGTGTTTTTGGGTTTGTTTTTTATCTTTATGTCACTCAACTTGAAATGTTTATGTCAATGTAGATTTTTAAATTTTGAATTGTCCTTGTAAGAGTGGTCCCTTCAGAGATCCCCTGTAATTGCATTGTTATCAATAATGAGTTGTACATGGCATGAAATGAAAATAACTGTCATTGGTAATCGATGCCTAGGAAAAAAAAGAAAATAATAATAATAATAATACATAGGGTGTACCATGTAAAAAATTAGAGATTTTTAATTTAAAATAGTTGAAATCCATAAACTTATTTCGAATATCCTGTAGGATGTGCGTTCACACAAAAAAGTAACTTTTCGGTGTGATTTCTTGACTGATTGTTCTTACAACTCCAAGTATTGACAAACGCGCCGCCACTGTTTGTGAAGACAATAAAATATTTAATTTTATAATAATTAATATTTAAAGTACGTTCCTTTGTATTTAAGTTTCTTCTAAATTAACTTTCCGTATATGTACATGTACCTGCTGGTGAAAGTATTTCGTGATGTTTAGGACAATACAAGTACCTACCTATTCCTACTGTGGAGGTGCGCGTGTGTGTTTTGAATAAAAATAATTACACGCGTGTGAACACAGCGTTTCATTATTTATTTTAGGATAAAGTAATTTTCTCTAAGAAAATAAAACATAATTATAAATATATACAGCGTGTCAACAAATTCAAGACTATTTAGGATTTCGGAAACCATTATACAGGGTTGTTCACAACATACGACACGGAGTATTGTAGCTAAACGATTAGATTTTTACAAATTGTAAGTTTTGGGTTCGTTGAAGGACCATTAGAGCTACAATTTAAAAATATTTTTACAAGATACAGAGTGTCCCAAATAAATAAAAAATATCAAAGTTGCATTTTTTTAAATGGAACACCCTGTATATTATTGCATTTTTAGTTTCTACGATTAAAATAAAGGTAAATTTGATAAGGTTTATTACACTTTAACCTTACCGTTTTTGAAATATTTTCAATTTTGCGAAATTGCAGTATAAATTTTAAGGCTTCATTTCTCCGAGGATATCAAAGTTTTTAATACTAAATATTTACTGAAGTTTATTTATTGATCAGTTATTGTGTTGCAATAATAAAAATTATACTACCTTATACAGAGTGTCTAATTTTTTTTTTAAATAATTACTAGCTTTAAACGGCAATAACTTATTTAATTTAAATAGAACACCCTGTATATATTATGAGAATCAGATGCACAATTTAATTGTCTATCAAATTGTATTATACTACTTCTTACCTATTCCTTCAAGTTTGCGTAGAAAATGCATTTTCTTATAATTTAGACCTCATTTATCAATATACCTATGGAATATTGACATTTTAGATTGTTTTTAAAGCAACAAATGTACAAAATGTACAGGCTAGTAATATTATCGTTTTTAGTAAAACGATAATATTACTAGCCCATTTGTATGCAAAAAGAAAAATATTTAAATCTTTATAAAAGAGTATACAATTAATTAAATATACCACCAGTATTTCCGCCCAAACACTAATTAACTACATACTTAATTGTGTTCGTTAAAAAATTATTCTAAATAAATGTGGATTTGAATCAGAAATCAATATAATAATAAGTTATGAAAATGAACATCTCTGTTGTTATAAATAAGCATTTGTCAAAAAATTAAATATCATTGTTAAGGTGTTGCTTTTTACCACACTGTCTAATACACATACATAATTCAGTTTTTTAGTATTTGTAGCAATTATTACTAATCAACGCAAACAGTCAATTAATGTAGTTTGCATACTGGAATCATATTAATTGGTCCTCTTTAACAAATATTTAAACAG